ACATGAGTAAGCTTATATATAATATAATCATATTCTAAACTGCTTCTTAACATTCTGAAAAACAGATATACTTTCAGGTTCTGTCTATATGTTTGACAGAATCATTCTAAATCGCCTCTCACACAAAATAGGTAGACTAGGGGAAGGGTTTAATGGATTTGTTGAAATGCGGCGCACAGCTAATTGCATAATAAATGATTTAGCCAATGACTCAGCCAAGTACTCTGTGTTTGTTAACATCAAAGGCGCTTTAGATAAGGCACATGGGATTGCGATCCTGGACGACCTTGCATGCATGGGTGTCAAGGTAGGAGACTCCTGAAATGGATTTAAGACTATTTCACTGGCAACCTGTGCTCACGTGAGGTTTGTAAAAGCGGCCGCCCTCCTCTCACTAACACATTTCACACGTATTCGTGTCAATTGACAAGTATTCGTCAATTTTAATATCCGTCTATTAATAAAAGGTTGGCACTTATATAATTTAATATTATACATATTAAAGTTCTAGGTAGAGTTTGGCGTTGGTTAAGTTAGACCAGGTGTTTAGGTTCTACTGACGATTATCTGTATTTGTAGTAGGTGGTACGTGAAGCATGTACAAAGATACGATATGAACAGAGGTGGTCAGGGAAGGAGTACCGATGAGCGCCTGGGTGCTTGCCCCGGGGTTCTTGTACCAGTCTCTGTTGAGAAGCACATATATAATAGATACCCCTTGTCGTAATTCCTTGGGGGTATACGGTCCATGTAGCCGGGAGGAAACTTGCTATTGAAGTCAGCAGTAATGTGATGTCTTGAGGCTGACAAGAGAGACATGCAAGTTGATCTCAGCTCTTTTACTCTATTTAAAAACAGATTACATATAATATATGCTATCATAAATTCGCAGAAGATGAAAGGTAAACTCGCAGATGATAAAGATAAACTCAGATAAAAATAAACCTACAGGTGATAAGCTTACAAATGATGAAGGTATACCCACAGATGATAATTCTAAACTCACAGATAGTAAGGATAAACTCACAGATGGTAATGCTAAACTCACAGATGATAAAGATAACCTTACGGATGATAAAGATAACCTCACGGATGATAAAGATAACCTCACGGATGATAAAGATAACCTCAGGGATGATAAAGAAAAGCTCACAGATGATAAACTTCATTAGATATCGACTATATTATTTAATTGTGAAAGAAATATTATCATCCGTTGTAATTGTGTCAAGCGTAGTGATGGTACAAGTTGAGACTGATGCTACCATTATTTGTTCGTAAGTTTTTTAGTTGTAAGGGGTACCATAGGTGCTGGTGCTACCATTGCTTGACAGTTGTAAGGGTATCATTGCTCGTTTTGATTACATTGCCTATGAAAGAATCATTACCATTATCTGTGATTGTGTCATTATCTGGTATATTACTATTACCTGTGGTTGTGAGTGTGCAAAATTCTGTGATGGTACCATTACCTGTGATGGTTCCATTGGCAGTGATGGCACCATCCCCTCCCCGACTAGCGGTTGGTATACATTACCGATACGACGCAGGCGTCTCTCTCTCTCTCTCCGCCAGACGTCTCTCTTATTTTCAAGAAGATATTATTCTCCAGACTTATAGCGATGCCTGACAGGGAGAATGGCAGAGAGAGTGCAGCTGCACTTCGTGGCTCCCACCTAAGTGACCGACATTTGTCAAATATATTGTGTTTCTCGACAGCGATATCGGCTTTTGCTAAACTTGAGCAGAGGGAAGGAGGCAGAGGGGGATATATTGGCAATAACACCCTCCTGCCCCACCAGGGGGAAACTTTACCTTAGTAACACATTGGTAAGTCTTCACTGCATTACCCCCGTCATCTTTATACCAGTTTATATGGTTTTTAGAGTCATATTCGCTGCTCAGTATCACTAAATTGATTTAGTATCGACTTTAAGCTGTATAGGTGATGTGAGCTACGTGAAATATGTCTGTGATGATGATGTAGCACTGGTGATTGAAGATATTCAATAAGGATTTATATGTTTGTGATTATTCACATAATCACTAGACCCCTGATAATCTTATATTCTGTATTTTATGTGTTTTACACACACACACACACACACACACACACACACACACACACACACACACACACACAAATTTTCACATGCGAAAAATAGAGAATGCTAAACGCGTTTTCGGCTTAATTCACCTTCATCAGAGCAAAGTAGAATGAAGACATTCATTCTTCTTATTTTATTATATATATATATATATATATATATATATATATATATATATATATATATACATATATATATATATATATATATATATATATATATATATATATATATATATATATATATATATATATATACATATCAGAAAGTTAACTGATCAAAATTTGTATAAATAATAACAAATGATAAATAACTAATTTTAGATCAATAAATGTTTTTTTTTCTTTGGGTACGAGTTTAAATATTCTTAGCATAGTAATGAATTTTGTTAACAGAAAGCGTAATTAGAGCAGCTTTGCCCCAGTATAATCAGATCAGCGTCGCTATCCGTATTAATCAGAGCAGCTTTGTCCCTCCGTAGGTGAACCTCACTTCTCACTGTATATACACTGAGAGTTTACTTTAGTCCAGGGGCTATGTTTAAGATTAAAATATTCTTGGTGGTAGGTCCTTAGGCTGTTGTGGTGGCCTCAATATGCCTCCAGAGGTTGATAGGCCTTAATAATCCTCCAGAGGTTGATAGGCCTTAATAATCCTTCATAGGTTGATAGGCCTTAATAATCCTCCAGAGGTTGATAGGCCTTAATAATCCTCCAGAGGTTGATAGGCCTTAATAATCCTCCAGATTTTGATAGGCCTTAATAATCCTTCATAGGTTGATAGGCTTTAATAATCCTTCAGAGGTTGATAGGCCGAAATAATCCTCCAGAGGTTGATGGGCCTTAATAATCCTCCAGAGGTGGATAGGCCTTAATAATCCTCCAGAGGTTGATAGGCCTTAATAATCCTCCAGAGATTGATAGGCCTTAATAATCCTCCAGAGGTTGATAGGCCTTAATAATCCCCCAGAAGTGGATAGGCCTTAATAATCCTCCAGAGGTTAATTGGCCTTAATAATCCTCCAGAGGTGGATTGGCCTTAATAATCCTCCAGAGGATGATAGGCCTTAATAATCCTCCAGAGGTTGATAGGCCGTAAGCCCAACACCAAGCCAGGTAATCTGATCAGCGTTATCCCCCCACAGTAATAAGAGCAACGTTGCCCCCTCGTAGTAATCAGTGCAACATTGCACACCCCTCGTAGTAATCAGTGCAACGGTAATCAGAGCAACGTTGTCATACCCACCCCCACTCCCAGTAATCAGTGAAACGTTGTGCAACAAAGTATATCAACTTCAGGAGGGGTCATCAAGGCCTCCGCAATAACTCAGTGGCCTCAGTGACAATTCTCCGAGAAGTTCCCGCAAGCCACGAAGGAACCAGCAAACATTCTTCATTTTTTTTTGTTCAACAATTACACAACGAAATCACACTAACGTGATTTTTCTCAAACTTAACAGTATTATCGGCTTACATCGCAGGTGCTACTCATTAAGATATATTGATTGTTTAATATTAACAAAAGCTATTAATTCTCTTAAAAATAGAACTTAATTTCGCCACACGTGAAATATGGAAAGATATTAATGTTTTACTTGCAGCCTCGCTAAGCCACTCGGTAAATTGGATGAGGCATAAGCTGCAACATCTTGTCAAAATTAATATCTGCCTATAAATCAAAGTGGTTTATGCATCATTAAATATATATATATATATATATATATATATATATATATATATATATATATATATATATATATATATATATAACTGAAAACTCACACCCCAGAAGTGACTCGAACCCATACTCCCAGAAGCAACGCAACTGGTATGTACAAGACGCCTTAATCCACTTGACCATCACGACCGGACAAAATGAGGTGATAGCCGAGGCTATATGAACCACCCCACCGCCGGCACTCGGATAGTTATCTTGGGCATAGCATTTTACCAAATCACCTCATTCTTTGGGGCACACGTGAGGAACACAAATGCGAACAAGCCTGAATTTGTGTTCCTCACGTGTGCCCCAAAGAATGAGGTGATTTGGTAAAATGCTATGCCCAAGATAACTATCCGAGTGCCGGCGGTGGGGTGGTTCATATAGCCTCGGCTATCACCTCATTTTGTCCGGTCGTGATGGTCAAGTGGATTAAGGCGTCTTGTACATACCAGTTGCGTTGCTTCTGGGAATATGGGTTCGAGTCACTTCTGGGGTGTGAGTTTTCAGTTGCATATGTCCTGGGGACCATTCAGGCTTGTTCGCATATATATATATATATATATATATATATATATATATATATATATATATATATATATATATATATATATATATATATTCGTGAGTATTTCTTATCACCTTGAATTAATAAATGAACCAAACTGGATTTAGTCATCTGTAAATTACAGAAATTTATCATCTATATAATGTCATACAATATAATTCTTTCGGTGAATTATATTGTATAACATTATATACACCTTAGTACTGAGAGTAACGGTGCTAGTGAATCTGTGTCTAGTTCCGTAGTCCTCTTGTACCCAACAAGGACTGTCACATCTCACTTTTTTGAACAACTATCTTCCCTATTAATTGTAAAAAAAATTTTTAACAGACTAATTATACACATTGTACTTATTCACCTTCAATTCTTCACAGAAGAGATAAACGAAAAGAACACTTACTGACGTAATTCAATACATACTTGCTTACTGGCGCTTGGCAACCGTTTAGGTCATGTGTCCCAAAGGGGGTGGAAGCCTAGTGGTCCGATTCTGCCGGGGGAGGAGGGGGGGGGGGCCCATGAAGACCCATGGGGAGAGAAAGTGGGTGGTGGGGGAGGGGAAGGGTGTTATCGGAGTGGCCCAACCACCCTTCCCCCTCAGTGTACTTTAGTCAGGCGATCATTGTGCTCAAGGGTACAGCTCCAGTTCACTGACCTGGGATCAAGCTTGTTCACTGTCCAGTAAGTACGTTACCGGTATATAATTTTAGGGGAAAGGGGGGGTTGAAGGGTCATTAACCCCGTGAGGGATATTAAGTCCAACACAAAAGCTGAACGCAGTTGTGCTGAACGAGGATGAGAATAGCTTGAGCTACCTCACCCCTTTGTGTGTATTTATACCTCAATAAACGTATTTCATCTTCAACACAAAAGCTTGCAGACCAACCAGTAAGTCTACCTTACTCCTGAATGCAGTCCAAGACTAAAGTAAACAGTTTACATGCACCGAGAAATAGGATATACCCGTCGATGTATCAGATAGAGAATATTTCAAGCATTTATATATACGTATAAAAAAGTAAGTATTTTAAACTTTTATGGAATAATTGATACACGAAGTATCATCAGTTTATTACAAACTAGAGAGCTTACGGCTAATTTAAAATATGTTATTAAAGGCTGTCAGTGAATAAAATATAATAAAATAAAAAAAATAATTAAATAGAGAAACTAATTGTATCCAAGACACCTCGCTGAACTTCGGTCATTTTGTACAGGAAAAGTTAGTTCACGAAGTCATTTGGTAAGCGTTTACAGACACGGGTTGTTTGATGGTGCTAGGTGAATAAAAATGTAATTACCCATCTCTCTCTCTCTCTCTCTCTCTCTCTCTCTCTCTCTCTCTCTCTCTCTCTCTCTCTCTCTCTCTCTCTCTCTCTCTCTCTCTCTCTCTCTCTCTCTCTCTCCCTCCCTCCCTCCCTCCCTCCCTCCCTCCCTCCCCTCTCTCTCTCTCTCTCTCTCTCTCTCTCTCTCTCTCTCTCTCTCTCTCTCTCTCTCTCTCTCTCTCTCTCTCTCTCTCTCTCCCTCCCTCCCTCCCTCCCTCCCTCCCTCCCTCCCTCCCCCCCCACCCCTCTCTCTCTCTCTCTCTCTCTCTCTCTCTCTCCCTCTCCCTCTCCCTCCCTCCCTCCCTCCCTCCCTCCCTCCCTCCCTCCCTCTCTCTCTCTCTCTCTCTCTCTCTCTCTCTCTCTCTCTCTCTCTCTCTCTCACTCTGCACTTCTAAATCCACTAGCCAGGTCAGCAAAATTTCGGTTATTTTGTTCCCATGAGAAAAATAAAAGTTCAACAAATTTTAAAACAAAATTGGAAAAATTGCAGTGCTCTTTTCCAATTACTTGCTGCGAAAATAAATTGGTTTGAAAAATCCGAAAACAAAATGATCAGATTTGCTCTAAGTTTCGAATAGGAAAAGTGCATGGTTCACCGAATGTTTTTTCCATAGGCTTATCATGATCCCCGCCCACCCCCCTAGGTCCAAGCCTACTTCTGTCCATCCCCTGGATGTAACACACATCAGTTGCCTAACTCTCGGGTACCTGATATCTACTAGGTGAACAGAGACATCAGGCGAAAGGAAATATCCTCCCAAACACTTCTATCCAGCCGCAGGAATCGAACCCGGGACCCTTTCAGCTTTGATCCAACTTCACTTACAGCTGCATGTAGGTAATTCACAAAATCACGGTGCATTAGTTAACGTTACGTGAACTTAGATCATTGGAGAAATTAAACTAAGTCCTTCAAAATGCGAAACTGTGATCCTATCATCCTGACAATAGATGCTCACAAGACAAAAAAAGTGTATCCCGGAAGTACCTAACTGGTACTCAACTGAGATTCTAAAAGTATATCATGGAGCAGCACTTGGGAATCTGAGGGTAACCCAGAAGATTTAAAATCTCATTTGAGTGCCAGGTAGGTACAGACGCTTATACTTACTGCAAATATGTTGCATCTTTCACCTTGCTAGACTCCCTTTTGTCCAAGTCTCGAACTAAAACCACTAAGGCTGAGAGACTCGTGTAAAATACCTCGTTTATCATCTAGGTAGAGTTTTATCCTCATTTGGCTCGCTTGTAAATTTTGTTTCTGCAAGCCGGAACAAATGTTATCTTGAGTGAGTTAAACCGGAACAAATATGTTATCTTGAGTGAGTTAAGCCGGAACAAATATGTTATCTTGAGTGAGTTTAGTCATTATGAAACTTCGTCGAAGGTCAAGTCATTTAACAATGGCTCTGTTAAATATAGTAGTGCTTTGAATCTGTTGCCATTTTTTCGTTTGATTTGTTCGATCCAGATGGAGATACCTGGAAGAGTCACAGAAATGTATTTTGTGAGCAAATTCGCATTACTAATGCCTGAAATTTAGCCAAGCAAATAAGCGCTTGAACAGATAAAATCGCTGACAAAATGTAATGTAAGCATACAATGTAAGTGCAATGTAAACACACAACGGTACGAAGAAATACACAACGGTACGAAGAAATACATAACGGTACAAAGAAACGCTCATCGGTTCACAGAAACAACCGTAAAAGAAATACAACGGTACAAACAAAGAAGCAAACACACAAAATAGTACAAAGAAGCAAACACAAAACGGTTCAAACAAAGAAGAGCACACAAAACGGTACAAACAGAGGAGCAAACACACAAAAACGGTACAAACTAATACACACTCATATGCAATAAAAAACGCACTGTATACAAATGCGTTGAAACGTATAACGGTACGAGAAAACACTCTACAGGCACTTGTGTTTTTTTATATATATACGAGAGTTCTTACATTCTTGTAGAGTCACTAGCACACATTTCTGGCAAGTCCTTAATCCTAATATTCCCCGGTATATGACCCGCCAAATCGTTTAACAACCAGGTATCTATTCACTGCTGGGTGAACATAAGCTACAGTTAAAGATTGACGTCCAGTAAATCCTCCCCGGCCAGGATACGAACCCAGGCCAAAGCGCTCGCGAAGCGCCGGGCGAGTGCTTTACCACTGTGCCACTGGGACTGCATAGGTTTTGAATCAACACGAATCCTATCTTGAGGCTTTTACCAAAGTGAGGTATGTTTGGGTGCTTTCTCAAACACGTTATTCCTAATGAATGTTGGGTAATTATTCCGTATGTGCGTGTGTCTTTGCCTATATCGCAGCTAAACGTTATCTTCTCCTTGTTACAAATTTACATTAGATGACCAAGTATAAAAATAACGGCCCGGCTTTAGGTGTGAGTGTCGAAAATACTCCACTCGAGGATTTTCTGCTCCACTAAACTGATCGAGTTTCCCCTTATGGAAAAGAAAATGTATTCCCTTTTTAACCAGAAACATAACAAACAGAAACTCTGGTGCCGTTGCTCAGTAAGTCAGCAGGTGGACGAAGTGGAAACCTCGTTTATGTAAATCAGCCGATTGTGAGTAGCATTGCGATTTCTTGCTTATTTTTTTTAACAAAGAGAGCTATTTATGATATTTTCAAATGGAAATAAAAAACCTTATATGCTGAAATCAAGGAATTCATGCAATGGATTTGACGGCCACTAAAATAGCTCACCTACCCACCGACATTTTAACTTAAGGCCTGAACATAGTCCAGGGCTAAAGTGTGTGTGTGTGTATACTTTATGTGTCAACCCGCTTCTCGGTGAATACACACTGAGAAGCGGTTTACACCACACGGTAATATTATTTGTGGTGACAGGCGTTGGCGGATCAGGTCTTCACAAAGGAAAACTGTTCCTGGTTCACGTTTGTGTTCAAATGAATTTAGTGTATGATGTTCTTAATGAAATAATTGATTTCCCTAAGGACTTATTATTTATTATTATTATTTTATAATAAATATTATTTTTTAATTCTGAATTCCCCTTCCAGACATTGTTATTATTATAATTGGTCATATGTAGGACTTACTACGGTGTTGTCCTGACCAGCTTTACCTACGGCTTAAGCCGTAGGTAAAGCTGGTCAGATAGGTAAAGTAAAAAGTAGGTAGGTTAAGTAGGTAAAGCTTTCTGTAAAAAAAACAAAGCAAGCTTTCTGTATTTGACAGTGGAATGGAAAATCAAAGAGTATTTATCTTATCAGTTACCTCTTCACTATACATACACCAAATATGGGTCCTGTAGCACAGTTGCCTACGTATTGACTTACAATCTGGGATTCGAGTTCGATCCGCGATCGAGAGAGAAATGGTTGGGCACGGTTCATATCACCAGATGCCTATATTTTCCTTGCTGTTAATAGATACGGGGGAGAAAGGAGACTTTTGCGGGTTGCATCCTGGGCAAGGTCAATAGTTTGACCTCGGTGGGGGGGGGGGGACCTCGATACAGTACAGGTGTCCCCGGACGACGGGAATTATATCCAAATGCAGACGATGGGTCACAATAACGGGCTGAAGATGGTATGACCAAATCATGTACCAGAGGGTTGAGAAACGGGCGTCCCTTCCTCTCTCCCATCACATACGGCTTGATAATGATCCAGGACGAACCGAAACGTTCTATTGTGTGGTTTGGTCATCAATTATATCCAAGATCAAATCATCAAGTGATCCACATTCTGTTCTACGCTCATATGTTTTTTTTTCATCCGTTGACTATCCATAATCAACTCAAGTAGCCCCAACATGCGATATGAAATTTCCCCGTATATGTGGACTCACATTTTCATCATCAATTTTCTCGTGACTTCAACATTTTGCCGGCCCGTCAGTATTTTAATTTCAGCCTCCACCCCACCACTCTCGCTAAACTTACTGCCTATATATATACATAATGTTTTAACCATGGCCTATCCTCTCTCCGTTTCATTTAGCCGCGCAGACTTCATTTGTATATTTCCAGGAAATTCATTTATCAGCGCAAATCTTGTTATTCATCACTCTGAAAATCGCTCCTTTTCCTCCGATTACACTATCATAATAATAATATGATAATGTTGCTGGTAATCGTTTCTCCCCAGCAGTCCGCAGTCCTCTACCACTACCGCTGACTGAGAAGATCGTAAGGCTATATAAATGAAAAGATGCAAAGATGCTTCCTATCAGTGTATATACATGAGAGATTTTATTTAAACCCTAGATTATGTTCAAGACTAAAGTGTACTTGCTGGTTGGTCAGTAAGATGTTGTGTTGGGCTTAATGACCTAGACGTTGGTAGGTCTTAATCTCACCACCAAAATAATCCATTAAGGATAATGGGTACAAATTGCACCGTGGTGTGTATTCTGCTCCCCGGTGTATATAAAACTGGATGTTTGCTTTAGTCCTGGACTATGCTCAGTAGAAATCACAATAACGTGATGAATCAACAGACAGTGTACTTGTTGCTTGGTCTCAAAGTTTATGGGGTTGATAAGTCTTAGCTAAACACCAAACTAAGTCCATTGCACTTTGGGACATATGCACAAACATACATTCCCTTGCTTAATGTACATATATACAGTTTTCCCAGTTTTGAAGTTTGTTTAGTAATATATATATATATATATATATATATATATATATATATATATATATATATATATGCTTCCTGCCTGATCACTAAACTTCTCTTACGTCCTAAATAAGCCTTCATAGGCTGTTAGCACCTAAGCCCATCACCTAAACATTTCCTTAGTCCTTCAGTAGGAACGCCAGAGGTAAGCCACTCAGTCTTCAGATACATATCTTGAGGTTATCTTGAGTTGATTTCGGGGCTTTAGTGTCCCCGCGGCCCTGTCCTTGACCAGGCCTCCACCCCCAGGAAGCAGCCCGTGACAGCTGACTAACACCCAGGTACCTATTTACTGCTAGGTAACAGGGGCGTTCAGGGTGAAAGAAACTTTGCCCATTTGTTTCTGCCTCGTGCGGGAATCGAACCCGCGCCACAGAATTACGAGTCCTGTGCGCTATCCACCAGGCTACGAGGCCCCCTCATACATAAAAAAAGATTTTTAAATGATTTTTTCTACTACATCTTTTCACTTCCACCTTTCACTTCACCATTCTCCCTCCAGCTATTCACCCATCGCTCTGTTCACCCTACCTGCTTCCACTCTTCCACACTTCCCCTATTCTCTTGTTTGCTCTTTCCGGGTCTGCAAAGACAGAGATAGCCCTTTCCTCTCTCTCTGTGCAGTTTTACATTTTTTCTTTCTTTACAAAGGTTTTGGATCTCGCACTGTTCCGTCAGATGCTCTTTTTAAAAAAAGACTCCTACTGAAGTTATATTCACATCTCTATTGTATCCTCAATTACATTCACATATTTAGTATATCGTCAACTATACATCCTTTCTATCTTTATACATTCACCCATCAATTCTATCCGCTGTTACATCCACACATCAGTTCTATCCTTCACGACATCCTCACATCTATTATAGCGTATCATCAGCTTCCTTAAGTATATCATATGATGACTATTATAGCGTATCATCAGCTTCCTTAAGTATATCATATGATGATATAGTTTTAGTGAAGGTTTGGTATTGGTGTTGGCCTTAGGGCCTGGTAACTTTTGGTTGGTTATCAAGGCATCCACCACAGCTTACTGACACACAAGCAGGTATTCCTAAGCCCTGAACACCAGAACCAAAGTAAACTATACACCAGTGAAGAGGTATTGCCTCTCAATATATATATATATATATATATATATATATATATATATATATATATATATATATATATATATATATATATATATATATATATATATATATATGACTGAAAACTCACACCCCAGAAGTGACTCGAACTTGTCACTCGAAGTGACAAGTGACTTAATCACCTCATTCTTTGGGGCACACGTGAGGAACACAAATGCAAACAAGCCTGAATGGTCCCCAGGACTATATGCGACTGAAAACTCACCCTTTGTCCGGCCGTGATGGTCAAGCGGATTAAGGCGCCCTGTAGTTACCAGTAGCATTGCTCCTGGGAGTATGGGTTCGAGTCACTTCTGGGGTGTGAGTTTTCAGTCGCATATAGTCCTGGGGACCATTCAGGCTTGTTTGCATATATATATATATATATATATATATATATATATATATATATATATATATATATATATATATATATATATATATATATATATATATATATATAATAGCGCCGACCTTATTTTTTATCTCTTATTTCTCCCCAAATACTATAAAACAGAAAATACATTCACGTTAAATATGTCAACCAAACGACAAAAATGACACAATGTACACTGTACACAAATGTACACGGGCCTAAGGGAAAGTACAGTGGTGCTTTCCACAAACACACACACTGGCGCGAGTGTTGGTTGAGTACACTTAAGGCTATACTATGGATAGTTAAGATCCGCATCTCTATGAACTGTCTTCTTTTCCAGATCAGGCGAGAAGCGTGAGCCTTGCAGGAGACCAGAGAAGGTAAGACACTCTCTGATGAGTGGAGTTGGGTAGTGCTACACAATTACTTCCTCTGGGCGTCGTTTCGGGGTTGGGTAGTACTCCACTATAGGTTCCTCTGACATCACTACATACGGGGTTGTGCAGCTTGCAGGTTGTGGCAGAAGCAAATGGGCAAAGTTTCTTTCACCCTGGATGCCCCTGTTATCTAGCAGTAAATGAGTACCTTGGAGTTAGTCAGCTGTCACGGGCTGCTTCCTGGTGTGTGTGTGTGTGTGCGCGTGTGGTGGGGAGAAAAAAAAATAGTAAACAGTTGATTGACAGTTGAGAGGCGAGCCGAAAGAGCAAAGCTCAACCCCCGCAAACACAACTAGGTGAGTACACACACACACACACACACACACACACACACACACACACACACACACACACACACACATACGTACACAACCTTGTCAAGCACAAGACGAAACTGGAAAAAGTTCAGAGGTATGTCATTAGGCTAGTCCCAGAACTAAGAGACATGAGTTACGAGGAAAGGCTACGAGAAATGCACCTCACGACACTAGAAGACAGAAGAGTAAGGGGAGACATGATCACGACCTACTAAATTTTCAGAGGAATTGACTGGGTTGAAAAGGATAAACTATTTAAATTAACACAGGGGGATACGCGAACAAGGGGGACACAGGTGGAAACTGAGTACTCAAACGAGCCACAGGGACGTTAGAAAGAACTTTTTCAGTGTCAGAGTAGTTAACAGATGGAATGCACTAGGGAGTGATGTGGTGGAGGCTGACTCTATACACAGTTTCAAATGTAGATATGATAGAGCCCAGTAGGCTCTATCATATCAGTTAAAGGCGGGACCAAAGAGCAAAAGTTCAACTTCCGCAAGTACAACCCCGAGCTCTTCTGTCTTCCAGCGATGTGAGGTGCTGTTTAAACAGCCTTTCCTCATAACTCATGCCTCTTAGTTCTAGGACTAGCCTAGTGGCATACCTTGTGTTTCCTTGTGTTGAGTATTTCTTTAGATGAGGGTTCCATTCCGGGGCATCATATGGGTCTCACATAGTTGTACATAGCATTTGTAAGGGTCTTTTGTCCAAGTTCTTGATTACTGTCCGGACCCTGGCTAATCTAACAAAAGCTGTCGACATTATTAGCATAATGTGAGCCTCTGGCATTAAATTTGAGGTAAATGTCTACTGCAAATTTTTCTCATATATATATATATATATATATATATATATATATATATATATATATATATATATATATATATATATATATATATATATATATATATATATATATATATATATATATATATATATATATATATATATATATATATATATATATATATATATATATATATATATATAATGGTGAAAGGAATCGTGTATTGTTTATCCCCTCCTCTTTTATCTTTATTCCGCTATACAGCCAGCTGTTGAAAGCCTACTAACGACTTAGGGTCGGATACACTAAAAGAGGTTATAACATCAAGAACCCGGTTACTGGATCTAAGTGGCCGTAACATATGAGAATGTGGAGGCATCTGCAAGGTCTCGGTAACACTGGTGAATGTAACAGTAATATAGACACACAATGATTGTGGACGCATATCGAATGTCGCAGTAAAGTGGAATGTTTGTTGTACCAACTGAGTTATCCCAGGCCATGAGTGATTATGTAATTTAAATGTAAATAATTATGATGATTTTTTACGATGTTTTTTTCTTTTATTTTTTTTAATTTTAAATTTGTTAATTTTCTATAATTGCGAGGTATGATGTTTTTTCCTGAATTTGAACATCCGGATCAAAGTAGGTATAACGTGTACTGCCACTTCTGTCTCCCACTAAACATTGGAACATAAAACTAAATAAAACCTGCGAATACCTCCCAAATGCATTCACACACGTCTGCGTTACACTGGAAACACTCCAGTGTTTGCAGTCCATCATGTCACTCGGTAATTCCATCGTGGCATGAAGACATGAGAATATATCACTCTGCACGACCTGCCAGACACGACCCGTCAGACACGACCAGCCAGACACGACCCCCCAGACACGACCCGTCAGACACGACCTGCCAGACACGACCCGTCAGACCCGACCCGCTAGACATGACCCGCCAGACACGTCCCGTCAGACACGACCCGCTAGACATGACCCGCCAGACATGACCCGTCAGATACGACCTGCCAGACACGACCCGTCAGACACGACCCGCTAGACATGACCCGCCAGACATGACCCGTCAGATACGACCTGCCAGACACGACCCGTCAGACCCGACCCGCTAGACATGACCCGCCAGACATGACCCGTCAGACACAACCTGCCAGTAACTAATTATACAGCGTGAACCAAGATTTGTCTTCATCTGTTTCCACTGAAACACAATAATGCTAAAATATTTTATTTGATATATACAAGAGTTCTTACAGTCTTGTAAAGCAACTAGCACGCAGAGCGTGTCGGGCAGGTCCTTAATCCTAATTTTTTTCCCGGAATACGACTCGCCAAATCGTTTGACAACCAGGTAAACCATTTACTGCCGGGTGAACAGAGGCGAACAACTAAGGATTGGTGTCTAGTCAATCCTCCCATGGTAGGATAAGAACCCGGGCCAAATCGCTCGCGAAGCGCCGGGCGAGGGTCTTACCACTGCGCCACGGGGACTGCATGTAGCGCAGTTCCCAGTTTTACTACAATCGTGGTGGATAGATTTTGAAATGGTAAATGTAGAGGAGTTAATATCCAGAGCCTTAAAAGCCTTAAAACTCACTACCAAACCAAAGTATGTTTAAGGATAACACAAATAAACAATAATAAAAAAAATGAACAGGGTCACCAATACCATATTTTGTTTTTAAAGCAGTCGTGTACTCATTTAAACGAATGTAGGCTTCCGCAATTTTCCCGTTTGAAACCGAGTTTGTTACAGCTCCATTTCTCATATCGCCCGGCCGTGGGACCTTCGTTTGAGTGTCGCATGGAGGAATTCCCTGGTAAAGGCTTTCACACGCTCTTTGCCATTCTCTCTCTCTCTGTAGGCTCGGCTTTACGCTCTGGCACTCTGAAGTCCACGCAATATCAACGTCACCCGCAGGCGAAAACTCATTTTCTTGCCTCCCGGCGCACCTCAAAGGTTTGTTTAGGAACTTTAGAGTTTGCGTTTATATTCTGCGCTGTTGCCTTTCCTCTTTACTATAGATTATTTTTTGAGTTCCGCGGCGTTTCTCTACTAATCACCATTTTTTTGTTTTTAATATTTCATCAGTTCTCCAACCTCCCATTTTCTCCCTATTTCAATAATTTATGAAAGATGGTTGGCAATTTATATGACTGGGGCGGGGGTCATCTAATGTCTCCTTACATAAGGGTACCTAAGGGGAGCCCCTTAAGGGTCGGTAGGACACGAGTGCTGCGTTTTTGAACTCCTCTCTTCTTGCAATCAAGTTAATGAAACTCATGGCAAAGAAACTAATGATTAATGAAGGGGATATTGTTTACAACGTTTCGTTCCACTCTGGAACATCTTCAAGCATGGAGTGAATATACAAGTTGATTGCTTGATGAAGATTAAGCCATCCAAGAGGTGTCACAGGCATGAATAGCCCGTAAGGGAATGAATATACAGGGTGAAAATTTGTGTTGAATACACATGTGAGAGAGGTGAAGTTGTGTGTGTGTGTGTGGGGGGGGGGGGGAGTTATCTTGCGATAATTTCAGAATTCAACGTCCCCAGAGCCCGGTCCTCGACCAGGCCTCCTGGTCGAGGAGGCCTGGGGTAAGGTGAAGTAATCACACATAGGTAAACAAATATAATGGGGCTGGAATCCAATCAAACAATTGGTAAGGCGGTGGGCGGAGGGGAACTCGGCAGAGATGTCGTTTTACCGGGTGCTGTATGATGAGGGGGCTGGAATTCCAGACCTCTCCTCCTTTGATCACTGGTGTGTGTAATGATTTTGGTGTCCGTGTCCTGGTAATTAAGGATGGTACTTTGGTGTCGAGAGTGGTGGTGCTTAAATCCTCCTCGTCCTCCTTCTTGCAAATGATGTGTCTTCTCAGAGTACCATTAGTGTGTCCAATATAGTTTACATGTCGGAGCATAGTGTCTAGAATTGGACGCGTATTGGTATGCTTCATCAGTACACCTCAGTTTGCCAGATGTGGCAGAAATGTTATTTTTCATAATGACAAATTCTTGAGTTTTCATTGCAGGGTTTTCCAGTTCACGTCAATTATATTCCGTAACACCTTTTCATCCTTCTTACAGCCCTTAGTATATTTTCACAGTAAATGTGTTCTTAGAGGATTGATTGTTAATCACTCTTCAACAGCAACAGTAGTCCCCACCAGCAACAGTAGCCCCTCCAGCAACAGTAGCCCCACCACCAACAGTAGCCCCACCACCAACACTAGCCCCACCAGCAACAGTAGTCCCACCAGCAACAGTAGTCCCACCAGCAACAGTAGTCCCACCACCAACAGTAGCCCCACCACCAACAGTAGTCCCAACACCAACAGTAGCCCCACCACCAACACTAGCCCCACCACCAACAGTAGTCCCACCAGCAACAGTAGTCCCACCAGCAACAGTAGTCCCACCAGCAACAGTAGCCCCACCACCAACAGTAGCCCCACCACCAACACTAGCCCCACCACCAACAGTAGTCCCACCAGCAACAGTAGTCCCACCACCAACAGTAGCCCCACCACTAGCCCCACCACCAACACTAGCCCCACCACCAACACTAACCCCACCACCAACACTAGCCCCACCACCAACACTAGCCCCACCACCAACACTAGCCCCACCACCAACACTAGCCCCACCACCAACACTAGCCCCACCACCAACAGTAGTCCCACCAGCAACAGTAGTCCCACCACCAACAGTAGTCCCACCACCAACACTAGCCCCACCACCAACAGTAGTCCCACCACCAACAGTAGCCCCACCACCAACAGTAGCCCCACCACCAACAGTAGCCCCAC